TGAACCTTCATGTGGATGCTGGGAGTTGAGCTTGGGTCCTGTGGTAGTTTGAATGTAATTGGCCCCCATAAGCTCATAGGGAGTGGCACTATTAGGAGGTATGGCCTTGTAGGAGGAAGTGTGTTATTGTGGAGGCAGGCTTTGAGGTTTCCTATGCTCATTATACCACCCACTGTCTCAGTCAACTTCCTGTTGCCTGCAAGATGTAGGACTCTCAGCTCCAGCACCATGTCTGAACCATGGACTGAACCTCTGAAACTGTAAGCAAGCCACCCCAATTAAATGTTTTCTTTAGGAGACTAGAGAGATGGCTCAGAGGTTAAGAGCACTGGCTGTTCTTCCAGAGTCCCAAGTTCAATTCCCAGCAACCACATGGTGGCTAACAACCATCTATAATGAAATCTGTTGCCCTCTTCTGGCATGCAGGATACTATATATTTAATAAATAAATAAATAAATAAATAAATAAATAAATAAATAAATCTTTTTTAAAAAGTGTTTTCTTTATAAGAGTTGCCGTGGTCATGGTGTCTCTTCACATCAATAAAAACTGTAAGACAGAAGTTGATACCAGAGGTATCAACCAGGGTATTGTTGTGACAGACCTGACCATGTTTTGGGGAGGATTATGGAAGGACTTTGGTATTTAAGTTATGAAAGCAGTGGAATGCTTTAAGCAATGCTTAATGGCCATACTAGTAGAGGAATGGAAGACAGACATGTTAACAGTTATTTGAACTGTTGGGGGCTCACTCAAAGGGTTTCAGAGGAGAAGAATTTTAGTATGTTATCTAGAGATCATTCTTGTGATATTTTGGTGAAGAAAGTGGCTGCTTTTTGCCCTTGTCCAAAGAGTCTGAGAGCCAGATGTGTGGGGGGCACACCTTTAATTGAAGTACTGGGAAGGCAGAGGTTGATGGATCTCTGAGTTTGAGGCCAACCTGGTCTACAGAGCAAGTTTCAGGACAGCCAAGCTTAGTTAGTGAAGGACAAAAAGCTGGTGAAGATGTAATTGAATGAGGGTGCTATGTTCCAGCCCCAGTAAACAGCATAACTTGGCAGCTTTGGCTATGTGGTTCTGGCTTTATAGTTAAGGACAGAAGAAACCGGTATAGAATTTGCCTCCATGCCTAAAGAAAGCTGCTGAGACCAAGCATGTTTCAGGTGTATACCTGAATGGAGGCCTAGTAAAGAGGTCATTGTGTGAAGCCCTGAATTTGAAGCCTGGATTGCCGTGAAGAACCCAAGATATTAGAAATACCAGAGTCGAGTCATGTGATACCTGCCAAGGAGAACTACTAACAGGAAGTGGAACCTGTAGTGGGAATTTGCTCTGCCCATGACCTTGGGCTATCTGGCCTGATAGAGCTGGTGTTTCTTATCTGCCTATATGACTGCTTAAAAGGGAGGAGAAAGGGGGTTATGGTCTCTTGAGTGGTAAAGACTGGATCAGACAGCGTGAAGCAGCCTGTGATTGGTCCCCAGCTCTCCAAGGACTCTGCAACTGGATTTACCTTATCCTGTATCAGTGAGTCTGTTTTCCCCATAGAACCCCTTAATAAATAAATAAATAAATATATATATATATGTATATGATATAAATAATAATATATACATACCATTGATGATCATGGTATATATATATGATATATATATGACATATATATCATATATATATATATATACACACATATAATTGAGGATCATGTTACAAATCAGTGTGGTGGTTCCTCAGAAAGATGGGAACTGATCTGCCTAGTGATCTATCTGTGCCACTCTTAGGGATGTGCCAAGGGATGCTTTATCCTACCATGTTCATTGTTGCTCTATTCATAATATCCAAAGATTAGAAATGGTCCTGATAGTCCTCATCAGAAGAAATGGCTAAAGAAAATGTGGTACATTTACAGAATGGAGTATTACTCTGCCATTAAAAAAAAACAACAAAAAAAACCCGACACCATGAGCCGGGTGATGGTGGCTCACGCCTTTAATCCCAACACTCAGGAGGCAAAGCCAGGTGGATCTCTATGAGTTCGAGGCCAGCCTGGTCTACAGAGTGAGTTCCAGGACAGGCTCCAAAGCTACACAGAGAAACCCTGTCTCAAAAATAAATAAATAAATAAATAAATAAATAAAAATAAAAAAGGACACCATAAAATTTGCAGGCAAATGGATAGAACTAGAGAAAAATCTTCCCGAGTGATGTATCCCCAGACCCAGAAGGACAACTATGTTATGTATTTACTTATATGTGGATATTAGCTGTAAAGTCAATGATAGACAAGCAACAATTTATAGAACCACAGAGTGTAGTTATAAAGGACTAGAGGGTACAGAGAGATCTTGTTAGGAAAGGAAATAGAAAAGATAATATATAACTACAATTATGAATGGATGGGGGTGGAACAGGGGGATCAAGTAGGAAGGGGAAGGGGATTGTGGGAAGGAAATACAGATAGAAGCAGCTAAAATTTAGGGGCACTTGAGGGGTAATACGGAAACCATACAGTAGAAGCTTCCTAAAATATACACATATAAAAAGCAATCTAAATGAAATCACCACATAGAGAAAGAAATGTGTTGCAGTCAACAAAGCTGAAAAGAGTTGGAGCTCTGAAGAGTGTTTTGACATCAGACATGGAGATGAAGAGTTTAGAGTTTGCCCAGCCCGTTTTAGGTCTTGCTTTGGTCCAGTATTTCCTCACTATGCTCCCTTCCCTACATTTTGGAATGGTAACGTATGTCTGTGCCATTATATGTTGTAAGTATGTGATCTGTTTTTTCATTTTGAGTTTATAGGGGATTACAGATAAGAGATTACATGAATCTCAGAATCTCCGAAGACACTTAGAACTTTGGACTTTTAAACATTATTGAGATTGTTATAGACTATGGGGACTTTTGAAATTGGACTAAATGCATTTTGAATTATGATATTGTTATAAGCTTATGGGGATCAGGGAGTGGAATGTGGTAGTTTGAATGTAATTGGCCCACATAAGCTCATAGGAGGTGTGGCTTTGTTAGAGTAGGTATGGCCTTGTTGGAGGAAGTGTGCCATTGTGTGGCAAGCTTTGAGGTGTGGCAAAACTTTGAAGTGTGGCAAGCTTTGAGGTTTCCTATGCTCAGGATACCACCCAGTGTCTCAGTTGACTTCCTGTTGCCTAAAAGATTAGTACTCTCATCTCCAGCCCCACATCTGCCTGCACCGCCATGCTCCCCATCATGATGATAATGCACTGAACTTTGGAAACTGTAAGCGAGCCACCTCAATTAAATGTTTTCTTTATAAGAGTTGCCGTGGTCATGGTGTCTCTTCACAGCAATAAACACCCTAAGACAGGTCCTGAGAAAGAGCAGCCAGTGCTCTTGACCGCTGAGCTGCTTCTCCAGCCCCTGAAGTAATTTCTTCATAAGCAGGTAGTGGCAGATTATCTGACTCATGGAATTTCAGAAAATGTCTTTATTTGCTCTTCATTCTGGGTAGAAAATTGACTATCAAGTTTCAGATTCAAATATTTTTTAAAAACTTGGAAAACCATGCTTTTCATCTGTAGCAGCCAGCTGTTTTGAAATCTGACATCGAGGCAGCTGTCACCCCCAATCTGTACTTGGCCTCTCTTTTTCTTTCTGGAAGCATATGTGTGTTCCCCCTTAAGTTCTGAAATTCCACTCAGATACGTGTGAGTGTTCTGTACTTGTCTCCATTGCACTTAGAGCGTCCCTTAAAACCACACCAAGCCTGGGGCCAGCAAGATGGCTCAGTGGATAAAGGCACTTAAGACATGACGACCTCAGCTCAATCCTGGGGACCCATGTGGTGGAACAAGAAAACCAACTCCCCCATGACCTCCATTCATGAGCCACGGCACATGCATATCTCCCTGAACACAAAATAAATGAATAACTATAGTACAAATTATAAAAGGAAACAAATAAAGCACAAAACTAAAACATTTTCTGGCTTAATGCCAAAGATATTAAGAAAACCACGATGGACTCGGCATTACAACCGAGAGGATGTCAGTTTATGTTCTCATGCGTGGAATAGGATGTTAGCTTTTAAAGAGCAGAAGGATTCTTCCAGCCTGAGATGAAGGGCTCCTTTTCTTCAGTCGTCACCCACAGCCCCTCCCCACAGACAGCACCAGCATCTGTGGTCCCATGGGCATCCAGGTAGGTAAAGATGCTAATACTGGTGTATATTATTCACTTTTTACAAGGTAGGGGCTGCTGAGATAGCTCAGTGGTTAGGAGCACTTATCCACTCTGCCAGTTGATCTGGGTTCGATTCCTCCACCCACATCAGGCGGCTCACAGTTGCCTGTAACCCTAGTTCCAGGGGATCTGATGGCCTCCACCAGTATCTGCACATGCGGTGCACATAAAACCTCTCAGGGAAACATACATATAAAAATAAATGAAGAAATAAATCTTAAAAAAAATAGAAATACAAAGTACAAACCCCACTTATTCAGCATCTCTTAGGTTACATTGGAGCTTAGCAGTCAGTCAGCTTGCCCTACAAGTGCATGAGAATTGGTCCAATCAGTACCTGGTTGATGGATATTTTGGTCATTTTAAATTTGATGTCTGTGGTAGTTTGAATGTAATTGGCTCCCATAAGCTTATACGGTGTGGCATTATTAGGAGGTGTGGCTTTGTTGGAGTGGGTGTGGCCTTGTTGGAGGAAGTGTGTCACTGTGGGGGCGGGCTTTGAGGTTTCATATGCTCAGGATACTGCGCAGTGTCTCAGTCCACTTCCTGTTGCCTGCAAGATGTAGAACTCCCAGCTCCTCCTCCAGCACCATGTCTGCCTGCATACCACCGTGCTCCCCACCATGATGATAATGGACTGAACCTCTGAAACTGTGAGCAAGCCACCCCAGTTAAATGTTTTCTTTATAAGAGCTGCCATAGCAGTGTGTGGGAGTGGTGGTGGCTGGGCATAGGGCCTAAACTGCACGCGAGGTCCGAGCCCTTCCTGCGGGCCGTACATGACCCTAGACCGGCATTTGGGGGCTGCATCGATTGACAAGTGTCTCCCCAACTTGCTCATCAGAGAATCCACGTATGCAACAACCACCGAGACTCCAAATGCTGTAGAGAGGGAGATTTCCTTAGGAAAGTTCATGAGACTGTGGAGCGTGGTGGGAAGGTGTTGATCTCTGTGTTTGCACTGGGCCAGGCATAAGAGCTCTGCGTCCTGCTGGAGACCTTCTGGGAACGCATGAACCGGAAGGTGCCCATCTACTTCTCTGCAGGCCTGACAGAGAAGGCCAACCACTACTACAAGCTCTTCATCACCTGGACCAACCAGAAAATATGTAAGACATTTGTCCAGAGGAACATGTTTGAGTTCTAGCACATCAAAGCTTTTGACTGGACATTTGCTGACAACCCAGGTCCCGTGGTTGTGTTTGCCACACCTGGGATGCTGCATGCTGGCCAGTCTCTGCAGATCTTTTGAAAGTGGGCAGGAAACGAGAAGAACATGGTCATCATGCCTGGCTACTGTGTGCAAGGCCTTGTGGGCCACAAGATCCTTAGCGGGCAATGAAAGCTGGAGATGGAGGAGGGTCAGGTGCTGGAGGTAAAGACGCAAGTGGGATACACGTCATTCAGTGCCCATGCTGATGCCAAGGGCATCGTGCAACTGGTGGGACAAGCAGAGCCGGAGAGTGTGCTGCTGGTGCATGGCGAGGCCAAGAAGATGGAGTTCTTCAGGCAGAAGACTGAGCAGGGATTCTGGGTAAGCTGCTACATGCCGCCCCGACCAATGGTGAGACAGTGATGCTGCCCACAAGCTCCAGCATCCCTGTGAGCATCTCCCTGGGGCTGCTGAAGCGGGAGATGGTGCAGGGACTGCTCCCTGAGGCCCAAAAGCCTCTGCTCTTGCATGGCGCACTAACTATGAAAGACCATAGTTTCCGGCCGGTATCCTCAGAGCAAGCCCTCAAGGAGTTGGGCCTGGCTGAGCACACCAACTGAGCTCCACCTGTCCTGTGTACCTGCAGGACACATGCAAGGAGCAAGAAACAGCCCTACATGTGTACAACCACCTCAAGAGCACCCTCAAAGACCATCGTATACAACCCCTCCCTGATGGCTCTGTGACTGTGGCGTCCATTCTTATCCAGGCTGCCGCCCACTCAGAGGACCCTGGTACTGAGTTACTCCTGGTCTCCTGGACCTACCAGGATGAAGAGGTGGGAAGCTTTCTCACAGCATGGCTCAAAAAATGGCCTCCCCCAGGCCCCCAGCTGACGTGTAACCACCAGCAGCCTACCACTCTGTCTCTTACTGTTTGCCCAGCAGAAGGACCAGGGCTTTGGCTTTGGGAGGTGGGTGCCCTGAGTAAATGGAAACCATAATTGGGCCACAGACTCTGTCCTAGGGTCAAGACCAGAGTCACAGGCTGGCTAATGTAATAAACAGGCCTTTTTGTTTACTTTAAAAAAAAAAAAGTTGCTGTAGTCATGGTGTCTCTTCACAGCGATGAAAACCCTAACTAAGACAATGTCCTTCATATAATCTGCAGGAAACACCCCTCTAGTGAATTTATTCAAGGAATGAGCTCCTAATATCAGCAGTGCCGGTACAAAAAGTGAGGTATTTTGTGTCATCATTATTTTTTGCAGTACAGAGACCAAACCCCAGGGCCTTGCACATACCAGGCAAGTGCTCTACCACTGAGAGCCTTTAGGCATTTAACATTTTGATTTTTAGGGGTTAATTTACGCCACACAAAGGTTGTATCATTTCATTCTCCATAGTGTTATCTGGGTGTCTGATTCCTGCCTTATTAATACTACCAGATATTATCAAATTCGCAAAGTTTGCCCCTTTGGTTAGGGGTGGGGGTGCATACCAGTCATTTCAGAACTTAGGAAATTAAAGCAGGAGATTAGGGATTCAAGGTCATCTTCTTCAGCACACAGAGTTCAAGGCTAGCCTAGGCTATGTGCAATTCCATTTCAAAACAAAGCGAATGAGCCCATGAGCCCGTGGTGGTACAGACCTGTAAGTCCAGCACTAGGGAGGTTCTCTGTGAGTTTGAGGTCCACAAAGCTAGTTTCAGAACATCTAGGACTACACAGAGGGATCCTGTCTCAGAAAAACAAAACAAAACAAACAAATCAATTTGGACATTTTTTTTCCTTTGAGTGTTAGACATTAAATTCAGGACCCCGGGCATGCTAGGCAAGAACTCCCCCACTGAGCTATGGTCACAGTCCTCAGACTCCAGGGCTTTAATGTGATTTCTTTCTGCGTTGGTGGCTTAGTATTGTTTCCTACAATCGCTGGCCACGGGTGTTTCTCTTCCGTAACTTCTCTCTTCAGGGTATCTCAATGGCCGAGTCTGTCTTTTCAGGGAAATGGCCTTTTCTGACCTCCTTGTTCTCATCTCTGCCTCTGTCCTGGAGTAAGACATCTGGACCGTCCCGAGTGTCCCTTCATTTTCTGCCCACATCTCTCAGCTGCTGGTCTTTTCATTCTGCTTTAAAGATGGTCATCAACACTATCGCTCATTTTACTTGTTTCTGAGACATTCTAAATTATTATATTTGGAAATCAAAGAAGTATGTGAAGCTTGATTTTAATAATTAAAATAAGTATAGCTCGGGCTGGA